TTTGGTTTGGTCGGTTTAAACAGAATTATAATTCGGTTCGGTTTGGTTTTCACACAAAACCGAATTTGTGAAGCTACTTGTATTTTCTCACTTTTAAATTATTTTTCACCCCTAATATAGACAATAAATATCAATTATATGCATCATCAATGATAAAACCAAACTTTTCAACACATAAGTCTTAAAATATTTCAAATATTTAAGTCTAAAAACAACTACAAACATAAAAATCCACCATTTGGAGCTTGCAATTATAGTATTTCGGTTTTTCGGTCGGAAATTCGGAAATTTGGTTCGGTTGAAAGAACCCTTGACTCACTCCTACTGTCACTCTAGAAAATGGCCAAGTGTAACCACTTCCTAAAGCGTAGTATAGCGGGTTTGGGTTTTAATGTCAACCCGGGTCCTAGATGTGATGACTACTTAGTGAATTCGTATTATCTAGCAATGAAACTTTAGTGAAGATCTAAACTAACAGGCAAGCAAAGCAACTAAACGATTGTTTTCAGGTTAAGAGAGATCACCCGGATATGGTTCCCCCTAGACTGCAGTTAAGCCGGATTGTAATTACCAAGTTCAATTTCTATGATAGTTATACAGCGGAAGGTTCTCAAACAGTCTGAAGTCTCGACTAAAGGTCTTCAGACCCTCTCAATCTGAGTCTCTAGCGGGCGACTAACCTCCACCGGAGTAAACAGGTTGAGGCCCTAACGAACCAAACCTCCACTACCGAATGGAATTTGGTACAGAATAGCGAATTGGCTCCTCGACTAAAGTCACCAATTCACTACCTTCAATTAAGGGTGCTCTATCAACCTAGGCAGATATTCTCATTCTAGGTTAAAGCAGAAACAACAGGAATTTGATCAGGATTCATGCCATTCAATCATTCAAACCTCAATCGAATATAATCAAATCATAGAAACAGTACTTGGGTTCATACAATCAATCCTAACATACAGATCTAGGGTTTCCCACACCCAGATGAATGGGAGAACTACTCCATGGAGAAAGAAGCAAAAGTAGAATCAGATGCGGAAACCATACTGTGAAGGATGGATTTCAGCTCCTGGACGTTGATTGGCACTCTTCCAAGCTCAAGCCAAGCTCCAATGGTGATGAAGATCAAGCTAGGGCACTTGGAGACTCTTGTTCGTCGCTTTCTCTCTCTAGGAATTGCTCTGTCTCTCTAAAACTCGAATCCCCTCTCAATTTGGCTGAAATCTGCCTAAAAGGGCATCAGTGGCCAGAACACGGTCGAGGGCACGGCCGTGTTCTGGTCCAGCCCGCCCGTGTTTTGGCCTTGGCATAAAAACACGGCCACGTGCATTGGGAAAACACGGGCGTGTTTTGGGCAAAGCACGGCCGTGTTCTGTCTCAGGCCTGCCCGTGTTTTTTAGCTGGTTCAAGCCACACATGGGGAGTCTCGGCGGTAAAAACACGGCCAGGAACACGGCCGTGTTCTGAGGGCCTCCTGCCCGTGTTTTGGCCCTGGCTCGACCAAACGACTTCCAAACGATCCGAAACTCGCGCTTGGCCTTCCTTTTGACGCCTGGGACCTGAAATAGGACAAAGTAGCACAACCCGGCGTAAAATAGGCCAAAACACACAACCATGCTCCGCAAATGGATAAGAAATAGGGGTATAAAATCATGCAATTACATCGTTATCACCTGATTTTCGAACTATCCATATTTTCTTTCCGAATTTCGAACCGAATAGCATTAATTCGGTTTCGGTTTAATTCGGTTTCGGTTTGGTTCAGTTCGGATTTACCGAACCGTTTGCCCACCCCTACATTGAGATCCTTGCCCTTTTGCTTAATAGAGCAGTTTATATCAATCAATTGCCTTTCCATTCACAATGCAAAGCACTAGGTTTGACCCACCTGTGCTTTGCAGATGATTTGTTGATTTTTTCTGAGGGTTCTGGTTGGGCTCTGACCTATATTAGAGGGATTATGGATAAGTTTTACTCACTGTCAGGGTTTCGATGTAACCCAGATAAGTGTGGAGTGTACTTTGGGGGTACTTCTCGACAAATAAGGAACTTAGATATATCTATTTTTGGTTTTAAAGAGGGCACATAACCTGTTAGATAATTAGGTCTTCCTCTGGTAGCAGGCAAGCTCTCTACTAACGAATGTGACTTGTTGAATGATAAGATAGTCAATAAAATCCGCTCTTGGAGGTCTAGCAAACTCACTTATGCTGGTAGGCTAAAACTAATTGCTTTTGTTGTCTATCCTATTCTCCAGTATTGGTTGGGAATTTTTATTCTACCCAAGTGTGTCATAAAACGAGTTCAGAAGCCCTGCTCAGACTTTCTGTGGCATGGAAACGATTATGGGAGGGAAAAGGTAGTTTGGGAACTGATTACTATCCCTAAAAAGGAGGGTGGTCTGGGTCTTAAGGATCTGGTGATTTGGAATATTGCCTCTGCAGGAAAATTGTTGTGGTTAATCTTAATGCGGGCGATCCTTCTGGGTTGCCTGGGCGCATAAGTATAAAATTAAAGGGAGATCTTACTGGCATTTGAAAGCAACTCAAACATGATCTTGGATATGGAGGAAACTACTCAAACTCCATTCTTGGTTTCAATTTCGACTGATTCAAGAAGAAAGAGGGTATGTTCATGGGAAGGATCCTTGATGGGAAAATATAAGATCAAGAAGGTCTGGAACTCTTTGAGGATTAAGCATCTGATTGTCTCATGGTGAAAATTGTTGTGGACAAAAAATAATATCCCTAGTAATAGGTTTCTGGCCTGGCTCATTATGAAGGACAAGATCATTACTAGGGACAACTGATTACATGGGGTAGGAATGTTGATCCAGGCTATGTGTTGTGCCGCAGTGGCAATGATTCAAGAGCTCGTTTATTCTTTGTTTGTGCTTACTCTAAACAGGTAATGAGAGGTTTTTCCATGCCAAGAGGTTCTTGTTGGGAGGATTGGTTAGCTGCTGCTACATGCATTTCTTCTTCCTCTGGTATCCAGAGTCAAGTGATTGGATTCTGTTGGTGTTGGTTACTTACTGTTATCTGGAGGGAAAGATGCACCAGAGTGTTTGGGGGTAAAGAGTTGTCTACTGAATCTTCGATTGATTCCTTTAAATCTCATAGTAGTAACTATGGAGTAGGCAAAGTTGAATTTGCTTCTTTATTTGGCTTGATTCATGTATAGGTTGTTCTGGTTTGTTAGAGGTGAGCTGAGTTCCTTTTCTGGTGGTGTGTGTACACCCTCCTTGTATTTTTCAATTCTGGCTTTGTCCAGTTAAGCTTAATGAGAATTGCAAATTATTGGAAATTTTTTTTTTTTTTTTATGTCAAATAACTCGCAGCTCAAATAATTCATCCAGGAAAATATTGTTAAACAAATATAAAAAGCTCGTTCAAAGAAGCCTTAACACAATGTTTGAGAAGAGGTGCAAGTTTGTGGTTAAACACAAGTTTCAGGGTGTTTATCCCTGTTTGGTTATTTTGTGACAGTAGAGGGTGAATAATGTGAATGTAACTTCATTGTTTCGGGTTACCTCCAAATTGAGGTACAAGAGAAGGAATGAAGGAGGGGCGAGGGAGAAATTATGGATTTTTATTTTTTTAATTGTTATATAATTATATAATAATTAATATAATGATATTTTTTATCTTAGCTATCATCAATGTAGACGTTGTTCGGTGTTGACTGTTTTGACTTCGGGAGCAAGTTTGTCAATATTCGTCTAGTCAAATTGATATCTTGGCTGACTTGAATTTGCATTGAAGATTAGAGATTAAAAATGTTTGTTTAAAAGATTGAGAGGATCGATTTAGTTGATTAAGTTTACTTGACTAAAAAGTTAAAACTTACAGATTCTAACATGTTTGACTAAGTTTCATTATATTCAATTTAAAGTTAAATTAGTGACGAGAATTATTATATAATTATTATTTTTATTAAATTATATGTACTAATATTTACTATTATATAATAATATTTATTATTAAATTATTTGTGATAATATTTATAAATTTAATAAATTTATTTTATAATAATATAATACTTACTTTCACTTTATTATACTAATCTATTTTTTCATTCAAACAACAATTTATCCTTCTATTTACACCTCCACTAATTTGCAGCTGTGCAATTTATCACTCAACTTACACAAACTCGAAATTGCACTCTTTTTTCTCTTCCCAAAGATAGTGTAAGTTATGCCACCAGATATGTTTCTCTTTCGGTATCAAAGAAGAGCGGTATTTTGTATTTATAGTTAAGAAAATCAAGAGATTGAAACATATAAAGTCACATCCAGGGGAATGTAATATTAAAACATATAGTCACATCAGGAGATTGAAACATAAAGTCACATCTCCAGGGAATGTAATATTAAAAACTGGGTAAATGCCACATTTGGTCACTGAGATTACTAAATCATGTCATGTTAGTCATAAAAAATTAATATCAATTTTGTCACTTAAATTACTGAAACATGTCACATTTAGTCACTCTCCGTTAGCCTCCGTGGAGAGTGACTAAATGTGACATGTTTCAGTAATTCGGTGACATTCATAAAAAAAAAAATAATCAAGTGACCGGAGTTGGACGGAAGCTAACGGGAGATGACTAATGTGACTGTTTTAGTAATTCGAGTGACCAAAATTGATATTATTTTTTTTTAGTGATAAATATAAAACAATTTAATATCCCAGATTGCCAGTGACCAGCATTTTACATTAAAAAAAACTGGTGTGTTGTCACCATATAACTAGAGCTAGGTTCGTAGAGGACAAAAGTAAGAGACACACGTGAAAGAGAGAAGGGGGCCGGCGGGCAAAATAATTCACCATCATTTCAATTTCAATCACTACTAGTGTTTTCGCCCGCTCCTCTTTCACTCGGTCGGTCGGGCTATTATTCATGTCAGGAGAGTGAGTGAGAGTCTTGTTTCGGAACCAACAAGCTAAGAGGGAAGAAGAAAAACAGGGATGGGAGAAGGAGAGGAAGGGGAAAGAATGGACAGAAATGAGGAGACGAAAATGGAAGGAGGGTTGCTAAAGAAGCCTCTTCTTATTGGAAAAAGCTCCTGCCGGAAGCTACGACGGCGCCGGAGGATCATCGTCGCCCGCGGCCGTGATCTTCAGCACGCTCGTCGCTGCTTGTGGCTCCTTCACATATGGCGTTGCTGTAGTACGATTAATTGAACTAAGGCTGTTGCAGAGAGAATTATTATTATTTGGGGTTGTAGGTATAATATGCTCATTTACTATGACGTTTTATCAAACATGCATTTCAATTATTGTTTACATACAATATGTCCTTGTACTTGGTCAAAATGATCAAACATGCCTTTTGTTAAAATTTTCATCCAAAAACCGTTAATCAAGGCCAAACTTTAGTTTGGGCGACACAAATGACTAAAATATCCCTAATAAATTCACTTTAGAATTTTTTTGGTTCTTTTGTATAATCAAATCTCAAATAGTTTCACTGTGAAAAGACTCTGTGAAATAAAACAGGGGACAAAACTAAATATTTCCTAATAAAACAGGGGACAAAAAAGCGAGGAAATCGTTATAAAGATTCTTCTGATTGTCCGTTGCCTAATATAACGTATTATTTATTATATTAATTAGTCAGAATTTCTTTTTGGGTGTGATTTAGTCAGAATTAGTCAGAATTTTTTTATTGTCTCTAATATTCAACTCCCCTTTGTTTTCTTTTTCTCTGGTGTATTTGGGGGGCAGTTATCATATTCGTCACCAACCCAAGATGGAATTACCCAAGATTTGGGACTCTCGTTGCAGATGTAAGTATTTAATTTTCTGTCTTCCCATATATTAATGAATAGAAATAACCCTACATTCAATCTAAAATTCGAATGGCTTTTTTTATGGTTAATTATAACTTTATTAAGATCAGGATTGTATATCTAGAGGTTGTACCAGAAAAAATCAACAATTAGATACTTTATGTTGAAACCACAATTTAACTGTGTGGTCAATCGCTTCATACTGTCTAGCGATTTAACCTCTGATAGAAAAAAATTCCACCATACAATACTATTTTTTTTATAGTAAAAACAATACTGTCTTTCAATCCTTGGTTTTTACACAAACTACTCACTTACAGTAATCGTACAAACTACCAAAATCCTGCTTCAACCACTTCACTCCCAAAAATCAGTGCGAATCATGATTAAATGGAATTCTGATGGGTTTTGGTACCGTGCAGTACTCAATGTTTGGGTCAATTATGACGGTTGGTGGGATGATTGGGGCTCTGTTTTGTGGGAGAATGACGGCAGTTCTTGGTTGCAAATACGTAAGTTAATTATTATTATTGTATTTGATTTTGAATCTGAGTTGATTAATTACGGATTAGGTTAAAATAAGATAATATATATGTCATGACTGTTGTGCACATGGAATTGTTGCAGACGATGTGGCTGTCACAGGTTTTCTGCACCACTGGCTGGCTTGCAATAGCACTTGCCACTGTCAGTAAATTCCAAATCTGGTGCCTTTTCTTTTAGTAAATTAATTAACTTAATCACATCAATGAAAGAAACTAACTTAAATTAATCTCGTATTATATTGATGCCTTTGGGGGGAAGCAGAGTTCCTGGTGGCTTGACATGGGAAGGCTCTCAATTGGGATTGGAGTTGGGTTCCTCACCTATGTGGTAACGCACTGATTCGAGTTTAGATTGGTCAAAATTTGCAAATTATTTGTCTAAGTCTTTCTGAATACAAAATATTAGATAATATGCTTAACTTTCAATTAGCAGTTTCATAAATCAATGATGCCGAGTTGGAAGATACATATAAGAGTTGACATTCAAAAAATTTAGTATTTTAACTGCGAAATGAGTTGCAAAGTTATTAACACTAACCGACAAAGAACTAATATTTTGATGCGTCACAATTTTTTTTTACTAATATTTGTATTTCGAATTTTTTACTAATAGGTCCCGATCTACGTGGCAGAAGTAACACCAAAAATTCCAGAGGAGCATTTTCATATGCCAGTCAGGTACTAGGGGAAAAGATACTGCATATGTTATTTGGAAAGTATATAATTACTTGTGCTAATCTTCTGCTAATATGTTTTCATTTTTTATGGATGGTCCAGTTGCTGATAAATTCGGATGTTCAGTTGTTTCTTGGTGGGAAAATTTTGTTTCTGGCGCACATTAGCCCTAATTGGTAGGTAAAAAGCAAGAGTCTATTGTGACGAACAAAGTGGTCGTAAAAGCTAATTTTGTTGCCTTGTTTTTTTAAATTCTAAATTATTACAGTGGTTTTTTTAACTCCACAAGCAAAACAATTTCCTTCTTATTAGGTCTTGTCCCAGGGATCCTGCAACTTGTGGGGCTATTTTTCATTCCTGAGTCTCCAAGATGGCTGGTGCGTTTATCTGAACTAAATTGGTAATAAATTTGATAATGTGTGACGCGTTAATATACCTAAATGTAATTTGCAGGCAAAAGTTGGAAGATGTAAAGAGTTTGAAGCTTCATTGCAATGGTTGAGAGGCAAGAACGTTGATATCTATGAAGAAAAAGAAGAGATCAAAGTAATTTTTTTTTACTTTAAACTCGTTATCTTTCAACGTGCTGGGTCTCCTTAGGAAAACAATTATGTTCGCCTAATATGTATTAGAATCAGGCAAATACTCATGACAGTGTTTTCCCCTCTGTGCAGAGTAGTGTGGATTCTTTGAAAGATGATTCAAATGCCAAAGGCAAGGACCTTTTCCAGAAGAAATATGCATACTCCCTCATAGTGAGACTAATTATTTAATTAAACCTTTAATTAGCTAATTAGTCCCCCTACCCCATGTTATCTTTCAAACAAATTTGTGACCTTGAGCTAACTTGCCTTATGATCCCCAATTTAGGTTGGACTTGGTCTAATGCTTTTACAGCCACTTGGAGGCAATTCAGGAATTTCATCCTATGCTAGTGCTATAGTTGAGAGAGCTGGTAAGTAAATCAAGCTGCTAGATCAAGTTTCCAACAAATTTAGGAATCCTGATATTTTTTAGTTCGAGTTTTCGTGACTCTCTACTTACTTTAATGGCTCTGGCTTATACTTTTAGCCTGTTATGATAAAGCATAGGTATAAAAACGTGTCTTTGAAAGTGTGTATGCAACCTTTGATATATCTTTGGATACAGGATTTCCAACTAGCACTGGTACCATTATCATCTCAACAGTACAGGTATTGGACCAGTAATTCGATCATTATGTAAAAACAAACTTTAAATATTTTCCTGTTCAAGTTTGACACTAGGACAAAAATTATCCAATCATTCTGTTGCTTTTAGCAACCATTTCCTTGGTCACTAAAGCATCTCGTTAGTTGTAAATATGTTTGGCATATTTTACTTTCTTATAGGTACCATCAGCGGCGGCAGGCCGTTCTTAATGGATTTTGCAGGAAGAAGACCACTGCTCATGGTACGTATACTACTTAATTAGCCAAGACCGACGATTCAATATATAATTAATTAACTCAACCAAGTTAATGAATTAGCTTAACTAACTAGCTGGTGAAACAAAAAAATATTATGCAGGTTTCAGCTGGTGGAATGTGTTTCTGTAGCTTTCTTGTGGGATTATCATTTGTAATGCAGGTAACTAAATTAGTTTACAAACTCAATAGGCCTATAGCATTGATTCATCGGGAGAAAAAAAAAAAGCAAAAGAAACATAGCATTTTGTGACCAAATTTAATTATTAATGTAAAACTTGGTTGCTAATACTTCATTGAGTGGGCTATTTTGCTGCTTTCAGATATAATTATTTGATAGCAAAAAAAAAAAAAACCCCTTTCTTTGGGTTTTGTAGCGTGATATGAGTGGATTAATTTATAGAGCTCTGTTCTTGACTATGTTTGGTTCTTCAAATTGTTCATCCGATCCACAGGGGCTTAATCTTTTGAGGGGCTTGACTCCAATTTTAACCGTCCTTGGTCTCACTGTAAGTGAAAATATATGTCTGTTTACTTTCATTTTTCGTTTTCTGTGCTTGTGGGCTTGCGGCGACAGAAAAATAGTGTTTGAAGGAAACAAAGTTGACGTTTACTGAGAAACAAAACTTGAAAATAAAACAACGTATAGCTGAAATTTTTGGTTGATTCTGAAACTGAAACATGAATGATCTAACTAATAACATTTATTTGAAAATGGATTTTACAATTATATTAGATAGATATAAAATTTCTAGTAAATTTTCAAATGAAATCTAACTTATTATTATAAAGATTTGAATATAACATTCTAAACATAGGAATTCATTTGAAAATGGATTTTATAAATATTTCATTTTGAATTAAAATAAATTGTTTAAAAAATTAAAAAAAATTATGACTTCATGTGGTTCCAAATGGTCTATAAGATGAAAATTATATCTATTGAAAGGATAAAAATAAGGTATAAGAGAACATATGTTGCAAACTTCTGGAACAACATTTAGTTGTTTCCGGAAACAGCAAAAAGCTACCACTTTGTGTTTCAGAGATGAAAACAAAAAATGAATAGATTTTCTCATTTTCGTTGCTAGATTTCTAGAATGAAAACAAGAATTAGGAAACGGAAATAAATGTAAACAGAATTATAGGAATTGATTGTTAAGAAGTTCATTTGATTATTAATTTTTTTTATAATCCTAAAAGAAGTACTTTAATGACTGTGCAGGTATACACATCAGCTTTCTCAATTGGTGCAGCAGGCATTCCATGGACCATGATGTCTGAGGTCTGGAAATTACTTGATTTTGCGAAATAAAATTTGACATAAATCACATATTGGCTAAAAGTAGCTCTCTATTTTTTTTATTATTTTTGGAAGATATTTCAATGAACGTGAAGGCAGTAGCCGGAAACTCTCGTCACATTAGTCAATTGGTCATCTTCTTGCTCGTCACGTATACTTTCAACTTCATGCTACAATGTAGCGCCGCAGGTAACGTTTCTATTTGAAAAAAAAACAAGAAAAAAAACTATAAGATGATGTAATAAGTTTTAGTTACGAGTTTAGCGTACATTATTTGAAATATATTAGTAAAACCTAACGTATGTTTGACGTATAATATATGCAAGTGACTTAGTCAGCTCAAATGCATTGTTGTTTTCATTCACAAATGGTTATTCTCTTATTATTGTAGGGACATTTTTCATTTCGCCTTAGTTTGGGGGAATTGTTGTGTTCACTGGAAACTGGTACCAGAGACCAAAGGAAGAACCCTTGAAGAGATACATGCATCAATGGAAACAGGTTGCTTGCACTAGAAGATACAGACCTGGGTCATAGCATGTGCTGGGACGAGTGCCTCCAAAATTTGAGGGACCTCCAAGTGCTGGGCTTGATAATGATCATGTTTGTGCTAGGGTGTTTTTTTTTAATATAGTTTTGATGATAGTTAAATTGATATTTTAAATAATAAAATTATAAATTACTGGATAGGTCATCTTAAAATTACTAATTATCGTCCTATTTTTAATGTGTAATTTACGTATTTGTCCAAAATGAGTCTCAAATGAGACACCCGATCAAACAGTCCCTCTCCCTCCTTCATCTTATGCGGCCTTCCTGCCCTCCCTGAGAACCACCGTGTTTCCCCTGAAACGGTCGTCGCAGATTGAAAACCGTGTGCATATCTGTAAACCCAACCCTCCCTCAGATTTGATTTGCACATACGATCCCACTTCAACCAATGAATCCTCATTTCCTCTTTCTTCTAACCCCCACCAGAAACTTGCAATAAGACTTCGACTCCTCTTGTATTACCTCGGAGGTACATGGAAAAGTGACACAATATAAGTTGCTTGTGCCTGCGCGACTGTCTTGACGAAACCTACTTGGCAGCAACAGACATTACTCCCCTTTCACAACTTTAATTTTGCTCGTATTCTATCCATCAACAGTACTCCAAAAGGCCCTTCTTTTGTCCCCCTGCAACTGTGGCCAGACCCAAGTATTTCTTATAATGTGACACTTCCCTTGAAGAATTTGATGATGCGGAATTGGAACAACACACGAACACACGAGATTTACGTGGTATCCTCGATCGATTGATTGATCGAAACTAATCCACGGTGAGCTCGTTCCGAGCTCACGACTGATATTTTATTAGGGACTACATTGTGACCGACTAGCTTACCACAAGACTTGGTAGCTTAGTTCTTAAATAGACAAGGTTTAGGCTTTAATCCTTGCACAGCCGTGACCTTGGCTTGACAAGCAAGGAATACAAAACCATAATGGACAAGGAGAACTAATGGTTATTTACTACAATTGGAGTTCTTACTCCAATTGGACTTGTAACTAACTGAGATGAGTTCCAACGAGTCCAACACTCCCCCTCAAGCGAAGACATGAATGACAAGAATGTCGAGCTTGAAAATGAACGACACTCAAACACCTCTTGCTGGCCCTGACGATCCAACTGGCTGGTAGACAAATGATGAAACTACTCCATGCTTGACCCAGTTCCTTTGACAGTGAACTCAGCATGGTGAAACTCCTAGACGTCGTGGATGAGACTGATCCTACTCCATACTTGACCCAGTTCTTTGACAATGAACTCAGCATGGCGGAATTCCTTGACGTCTTGGATGAGATTGAAGACTGATGACTGCGTTGCTAACTTTGGAGACTTCTACCTGCACTGCTGACTGTACTTCCCCGAGCAACATGATTGATAGATACACGCGGTCGACTTGATTACTGAACTAGTCGACCTATGTGTGATGATTCCCTATTCTCCCCCTCAAGCTGGAGCATGAACAACGTGAATACCCAGATTGAAAGTTAGAATGGTGAGGACTCAAATTTGACCAATTCTGAATGCGGAGGGGACGATCGCTTCTTTGATCGTGACTGCCTCGCACCTTGACTTGATTTCTTGACGAAACTGTCTTTTCTCCAATACTGAAATTGAAGTGACACCAATACTTGGGTCGTGATTATCTCCAACTTCATGACTTTTGAGATTTGTTTCCTGTGACATGTGACAAAACTTGTGACCTTGAATTGATGACGTTGACTTGACCCATCTTTGTAGCAATTTTCAATCCATTTCAATGCCCCTCTGAGACTACAAACTCAATGAATCCATGGTGGTGATGCAAGAGCTAGTAACTGATGAAAGACTATCTCAGGCATGAATCTCACGCTTACACCTCCTGTGAGGTCCAATGGTTGCTGTATCTGCTCCATGACTTCCGCATCCCACACCCACAACCAGTTTCCCTCTATTGCGACAATCAGTCCGCGATTTACATCGCCCAGAACCCCACTTTCCACGAGCGCACCAAGAATGACCACGCAGCTTCCTACAACCGAGTTGAACGAACAAAAAACTCCAGCCGAGTACAGATTTTGGACTGGACAGAGTGACTGTGGTTGAACACACAGCAACCTAAGGAGGCCGACCGAAGCTTTGACAGAGCCGGACTACGGATGGTGGACACTAAAGCACGGACTTCAACCTGACAACGGATGACCCGACGCAATTGATGACAATATTATCGCTGCTGACCATGACGATGTAGAATTGGCGAAGGCACCTCGATGCAAGGAGACGCCGCGATGAAAGCTCCGAACAACGCGGAGGCTTGACTGGCCGGCGATGACGGTGACTTTGGTGGGAGCTCGGATCCAAGCAACCTCTACTGACGACTGGGATGATGATGATGCAACGACCCGGAGAAAGAAGGACTGGCGAGGCACTGATGCGGGGCGACTTCAAGGCCTTATCCAGAGGAGAGGACAGGCGAGGACGCTCAGGGCGACGTCGGAAAGAAACAGGCCATGAGTTGACCTTGCTTCCTGACTGAAGGATGAACGCCGGGAACCCAAGATGGATGAAGGTGTCTCACGGTTGATGCCTCGACTGATGACCTCGACGATGGCCTCATTGACGAAGATAGCAACGGCGATATGGATGCTGACTGGAGACCGAACGAGGAGCTTGGACGGATACAAAAGCGCTTGGGATGCGGATGACGGCAGCAAAGGCTTCAAGAAAGACGATTGTGACCAGGAATTTAGGCAGCAAGTAGCCTATGAGCAAAGGCATAGACTCGGTGCTGAACTGAGTTGAGACGACGACGGTGATTGAGCGATGTCCTTGTTTCCTTGACTTATGATTCGGCGATAACCATCGTGACAATATGATAGGCGACACGGCAGTTGACGATTGATGACATCAGGGACGGCAGATCCCATCGACCTCAGTGCGGACTCGTCGGACATGACGGGACAACGCACAGAAGAACCAAAATGATGGCGGAAGCGCAAACCCTAACAATGAACCAGGCTCTGATACCATGAAGAATTTGATGATGCGGAATTGGAACAACACACGAACACACGAGATTTACGTGGTATCCTCGATCGATTGATTGATCGAAACTAATCAAACTAATCCACGGTGAGCTCGTTCCGAGCTCACGACTGATATTTTATTAGGGACTACATTGTGACCGACTAGCTTACCACAAGACTTGGTAGCTTAGTTCTTAAATAGACAAGGTTTAGGCTTTAATCCTTGCACAGCCGTGACCTTGGCTTGACAAGCAAGGAATACAAACCATAATGGACAAGGAGAACTAATGGTTATTTACTACAATTGGAGTTCTTACTCCAATTGGACTTGTAACTAACTGAGATTAGTTCCAACGAGTCCAACATCCCTCATTCCCAAAATGGTTGTCATCGTTGTTTGTCTATCATCCTTCACATTTTGGGTAAAGGAAATCTCAGATTTTGTGAAATTTACCATATGACTAGACTCTTCCCCATAGGTTGTAGAATCTGTTTAAGCTTATACTATCATCAACAAACAAGAGGTGAAAGATATTTGGACCCCTATTTATTTTTTATTCCATGTAAAATCCTTTTATCGGTTATTGGCAGTTTCTTCCCCCAATTTTTGTACATGTATAGCAATAAAATCTCAATAAAAAATTGAGAAACTATTGGTCCAAACTTCCTCCTGGTCCCAAACACAAGCAATAGGGACCATAATATGATTGATCAGATTATTGCTTCGGCCTGAAAAGTGCAAATTGATTGGGTCGAGTCCTCCTTCAAAATTTCAATTGCACAGCGGGATGAGCTATAAGAAGCACCCCTGCAACCTCAGCGGCATCGTGGGTGTCTGCACTTCCTGTCTCCGGCAACGGCTCCGTGCTCTAATTGCAGCTCAATCATAGTTCGACGTGTGTGTGTCTCCTGTATGTGCTTGTTGTGACCTGCTCCGACGGTTAGTGGGGTCCAGCGATGGAATGAGTTAGCGTGGTTACCTAATTTTTAGTAATTACGGTGGCTACCTTAATCTACACCATTCATTCATTATTTCTTTTTCACCCTAATTTTAAATTAACGATGAACATTATATTAGGGTAATTTTGGAATTGAAAAATATACCACACCTGATTACCCTATAAATTATATTCAAACCCTACCCTACTGCAACCCGCCGCCAACCACCAAACTACCTCCCCCTTTACCTCCCGACGTCCCTCCTCCCTCCCGAGAACCCCCTCCACCGCCGGCCGGCATCCCCTCCATCGCCCTCCTCCCTTCCCCTCCTCTCTCGCATAATCTTCCATCCCTAGCATCCCCCTCTCTCTCCCACTCTCTCCCAGAAGCTGCAGCACCATTAATGGACGCTCGCGTCCTAGATCGGGACCTCCCCGACGACGACGATTCCCCCGGTACTTTCAAATCTTCCTCCGACATTGCTGACGGCGGAGCTGGACAAGGCAATTCAATATGGG